TATGATTCTATGATTTTATGATAAAGGAAAACGGAGTTCAGTGTGTTCCACTGAATCAGAGAAATGAAAATAGCACAAAATAATTTTTCCAGTTAGTTTTCAAACTGAGAATTTTATTCTAAAATGGAGTTATTTGCTAAAGACATGAGACCAAAGTTCCTTTTCATTCTTTCTAATAGATCTGTCAACTGGGTATTTTTTGTGTAACTCCTGTGACCCTCAAGCTCTTGCATGGTGTGAAGGGAGGGGAGGGGGCATTATTTATCTGTCACTTATATTTATAAACTTGAGTTTGGTTGTGGCTTGAGTCAGCATTTTTCTGAGAGCTGTCAGGCATGGATGTCTGTGTCCATCTGGGTAGCCAGAGTCAGGCCTTGGGAGCTTCTTCTTGCCCTGTGCTTAGGCATGATTAGTACCCTCGGTGTTGCATTGATATACAAAAGCAGCTGGGGCCATTTTTCAGCTCTGGTGAGAAACTTTTTAGTACCTCGATTCCTTCCCCTGTTCATTCTAACAACTCACCTCCTTTCCATCAGCATACACGATTGTGGATATTGATGTCTGCTGCATATAGATCTGTCATGGCTGATTAGTTGCTTGATAAGTTCCAAGATGTAGACATTCATTCAACAGAGAAACAGAGATGTGAACTTGCAAATACATGGTAGCATGTACTTCTGACACCAGCAGAAGATCGTGTCTCTGAGACTTAAGCAGTACTATATCATCTTCTGATTGTTTAACTTAAAGCATGTTTGAAGTTTTTCAGAAAAAATAATATGTCTGAATGTTGTACCAACTTACCAAAAAAGGCATTTCCCCAGGAAAACACGGTGGCTAGATTTTTCAGTTATTGCTGAATCTGTCTGTTGTTCTTTTTTTAACTGCAGAAAGTGAGCGAAAAAGTAGGAGGTGCAGAAGGAACCAAGCTAGATGATGACTTCAAAGAAATGGAAAGGGTAAGTCTAAACACAGATGCATATATTCATTATTACCATTAATTTTTCCTTTCTTGGACAGGAATTTCAAAGCTTTTGTCTCTGAATCACTCAAATAATTTTGAAAGACTTAAATTTTATTCAGCAGGGCTGAACTTTCTGTTTCTTATTTCTTTTTGTTTTTTTTAACCCAGGCATACATAATATATGGCACTTTATAATGCCAGTATTTCATTTGGAGATTGAGGCAAAAGTCAGTTAGACCATTGTAAAGGATCTCTGAAAACAGAGAGCCTGTCTACAAGATGGTCTTTTTAATGCCAAAGGGTGCCAGTAATTCTCAGCTCCTTGAGCGTCAGTCAAGAGGAGCAAGAGCTGTCTGCCAAAGGGGGTTGACAGTGTCTCTGGGATATTCATTCTTATGTTCAGAGATCCTGTCAGGCAGCCTCTGCTGGAGAAGTGCCTTGGGTCGATGGGCCTAACCCCACAACAGGCTGCTTGGTGAGGCTTGCAGTGGTAGCCAGCCTTCTAATGAAGGAAAAAAAAAAAAACAGGCACAGCTGTGTGTAGTGGTGATAATATTTCAATTGGAAGGATCTGTAGAGACAGGGATTTTTCCTGGCTTCGACTTTGAAAGGTGCTGTCCTGTAACACAAGCTACTGCTAGGTGATTTGTAGGGTACATATCTGATACATAACTGATCAAGAGAAACAGGAGCTAATTATCTGTATGTCTGTTTAGTGAGGTGGGGAAAAAACCTTGGATGGAAAATAACAGGGAAGGGTGTATCCTTTGTAGTTCTTACAGTGAAAGTACTGCAGAGTTGTTTTACCCCCTTCTGCCCAACTTCCCTTTGAATGTGCCACAAGTATAGGCACTGCCATCAAAACTGGAAGATGTTAAAGAAGAGTCAGAAAACTGATGCCAAGTTTAGAGTGGAAAGCAGGGCATTGCAGCAGCCAGGGGTGAGTCCCACGTGGTGCTTGTGGGTGGCATGGGTTGGCAGCCAAGGAGAGAAGAGCGCTGAGAGTTGAGAAGAGAGTAAACTCGTCAGTTGCCTCCACACTCCCTGCCTGGCCCCGTGTCTCGTGCCAGGTTTTCTGCAGGCAGCGATCATGGTCCTTCTGCCTATCCCTGGCCTTCTGTTCCCTCGCCCCCACTCTGCAGCCCTCTTGCCATTTCTGGGATCCCTACCAGGCAGTTCAGCTCCTCGTTCACCCAGGACTAGCAGACCTCTTCTGGTTCTTTGTGTGAAGCACAGAGCAAAACCTGGCAGATGGCCGTGGCAACAGGGAACAGGAAAGGTCAGTCACAGGGTGCTACAGCCAACCTGTCTAAGGGGTTCTTCTTTAAAATAGGAGCTTGCCATTATGGTAAAGGAGTTCACTCTGTGGGACACAAGCTACCCTGCAGAGAAATGCAATGTGTCTTCATAAACGCACAGTACAGGGCAGTCACCCCTGAATTTGCTGAAGCAGCATTTTTTCCTTTGAGACTTGATTCTGAGCGGGAGAGTAGTTGCATACTTTGCTGTATGCAGCTTAGGAAGCTGATGTGAAGTACTTCCTAAGAAAGCAAGAATTCCTGTTACAGTAGAAGCAAGTAATACTATTCACTTCTAAGTATTTTTAATTTCTAAACGTTAAATAATTCTTCATGGAGTCTGCCAGAGGAAATGAATGGCCAGTTCCTCCATGCTGATAGGTTTCTTGAAGTTGGAAACTGAGGGATACCTACTCTTTCTTACATCAATTTTACTAGACCTCAGTCTAAAAGAGGTAGTCAGCCCATGGGTGGTTGGTTTTGACTGGCATCTGCCTTCCCCTCATTTTGCCAGTTATTAGGGGATTAAAGATGGGTAATTCCTCAGATACTTTTCAGTGATTCTTCTGTCAAAAAATTTTCCCTGTTGTGGATGCTTCCCGAGGTGATGTAAAATACCAGCATGGTACAATGAGTTGTATCTAATTCCTAACACGTCCTGAGGTGCTCTGTACTAATGGCCTCGCTTGAGAATGGATCTGCTATAAACTGAAATGGTGGATTCATACTTTGGTAGTTTTCCAGGTGTTACCACCATACTGGTACCAGGGCTGTTCTCAGGGACACAAAAATAAAATTATAAGAATAGTTAAAAGATCATATAAGAACAAAGAGAAGAGATGAAAGCATCTTCCTTTTGTTTAATGTATTTTTTTTCATGTTTCTCTTTGTTTAACTTTCTGTCCTCTAGAAAGTGGATGTCACCAGCAGGGCTGTTATGGAAATAATGGCAAAGACGATAGAGTATCTTCAGCCCAATCCAGGTAATGTAGTTTCACAGTCTCGCAGTACTTGCAGCACTTCTTGAAAATAGGCTTTCTCAGGTTATATAGTCTGGCAGATCTCATCCTTACTGGTGCAGTTAACAGAAAATTGGTGGTTACTGTGAAATAGAAGGCAGAGGCTTCTATGTTAGGCTGTCAGGGGGAATGGATACTGGCTTTGGGAGGCTTTTTTCCTTTTGTGTGTTCTTGCTTTAGGAGGGGGGGAGCAGCATATGCCTAGAAACCAGGTGCGTTTACTTGCAGGCGTCTGAACGTCAGCACTATGAGCATGGGGGACTCCCTGGGAGCTGGAGATTGCCATGGACTCCCCAGGGGCACTCTTGGCAGCCAGGACCCATCCCACTGTTCCAGCCAGGAGCAAGACAGCCAGGGTTCACTGAGGCAGTCCCAGCCCTGGGCATCAGGCACCTCCCTGGGTATAGGGGTGGGCTGAGGCCAGGCAGTCATCCCACTGGTCATGGTGAGCATCAGGCATGGCAAGGAGGTCTGCGTGAGACATCTCCTCCTCTTACTGTCCCAGTCATTCACCCTGTATGAGGGAAAAGGACTGGGCAGTGCTTGCAAACCATGGGAAGAAAGACAGAGTTCTGAAGCAACTTCCTCCAGGGTACAGGAGGAGAGGTAACAACACCTTTCACCTGGTCCTCTATCAATTTCCCATCCTCCTTAGAGTTACTGCAAAAGAGAGAGTGCAGAAGAGCTATTGGTGCCAAACTGGAGAAAAGGAACGATAAATGGATGTAATCAGAGATGACTAAATTGAGCCATCAAAATAGAAATAATTTATTGGTTTCCATGAGGAGATGAAAGAAGGGGTTTGTGATTGGGCTGATGGAGAGCTGCATGCTCTTCTCTTGCCAAACAATCCTCACAAGGAGGGGTGATCTGGAGCTGTTATAGTGGGGTAAACCATTAAATTCAAGAACGTGAAGATTTCCAGAGTAATCTAGGGATATAGAATCATAGAATCATAGAATCACTAGGTTGGAAAAGACCTTAGAGATCATCCAGTCCAACCGTATCTGTCCACCACTAAACCATATCTTTCAGCACCTCATCCACCCATCTCTTAAACACATCCAGGGATGGTGACTCCACCACCTCCCTGGGCAGCCTGTTCCAGTGTGTGATAACCCTTTCGGTGAAGAACTTCTTCCTTACATCCTATCTAAACCTCCCCTGGCGCAGCTTGAGTCCATTCCCCCTCGTGCGATCATCTGTCATTAGGGAGAAGAGACCAACACCCACTTCTCCACAACCTCCTTTCAGGTAGTTGTAGGCAGTGATACTGGCGTATGTCAATACCATCTTCACTGATGGGGTCAGTGGAGTTATGCTTGTGCAAAATTAGCTTGAAGGTAAAATGAGGCCCACTACCTACCATAAGTAGGTATGTATTTTAGAGTTTCATGGAAGTGCAGACTAAATTCACTCATTCACTCTGAGGAATTTTTTTCTTAATAACTGGGAGCAAATTTTAACCAGTGTGAAATACTTCAGCTCCAGTGTGGTAGGATGAAAGGTGGTTGCTGGTATAGATTAATTGGTGATATTTCTGTGTCGGACCATGGAGAAAATACAATGATGCTGCCAGTGGATTGAAAAAAGGAGGAATAACATTTAAAAGTTCATAAACTGCCTGAGAGAAAATCATAGAATCACAGAATGGTTTTGGTTGGAAGGGACCTTAAAGACCACCTGGTTCCCATGGGCAGGGACACCTTCCACTAGACCAGGTTGCTCAAAGCCTCATCCAGCCTGGCCTTGAACACTTCCAGGGATGGGGCATCCACAGCTTCTCTGGGCAACCTGTTCCAGTGCTTCACCACCCTCTCCGTGAAGAACTTCTTCCTGCTATCTAATCTAAACCTCCCCACTTTCAATTTAAACCCGTTACCCCTTGTCCTGTCACTACAGGCCCTTGTAAAAAGTCCCCTCCCAGCTTCCTTGTAGCCCCTTCAGATACTGGAAGGCTGCAGTAAGGTGTCCGTGGAGCTTCCTCTTCTCCAGGCTGAACAAGCCCAATTCTTGCAGCCTTATATTATTATAAAATAATGATGACTAGAACGGTTTCTGTGTCAACAGGTGAAATACTGTTTATGAGTTGAGTCCACAGCTTCATTGCTCATTGTCAACAACCATTCTGCAGGAAAAGCAATAGGATTGACAAACATTATGGGTCTAGTGATAAAATAGTTAACTACTGTGAAACTGCTGTTGTGCAACATTGTATAGACTGAGTAATAAGCTTTGGCTGTTTAGTGCTTCTCTGGCTGCCTTCCTGATGCATCTGAGTGATCATGATTGCTGTGAATCATGAAAGAAACTCACAGCAATGGCAGAGAACAAAATTTCTGCAAGTGTCTGAGGGTGGGATTTCAAGCATCTCGAGCTGATGTAAGTTTCCAGTGTTTCAGGAAGGAGCAGTTTCCATACTCTGTCTACACATCCTTTCATCCGCTTGTGGCATGTGCAAGAGTAAGATCAGAAGATTAAAATTGCAGTAGGCAGGAGGAAGTTTTACTTTCTTGCATGTCAAATGAGATCACGTTATTCATTCCATAGGTGGGCAACAGTAGAAAATTGATTAAGAGGAAAAGAGGAATGCAGCTCTCACATGACCTTAGATTGTTTCATGCCAATTGCAAAAGGGCTGCCTGTAGTGAGAAGAATTACTATATGGAATTAGTAATGGAAAATCAGGGTTTTTTTACAATAAATAAAAAATTTTCTCTTCAAAATTCTCCCTACAGCTATTATAGTGTTTACCTGGGGCACAAAAAAATGCTCATTTCAATGTACTTCCTGTTTGCTTTCTCATTTTCATAAAAATTAGAAATGTTACATTGGGAAGAAGGGGAAATTTAATGGAAAAAATTTCTTTAACAGCAATATTTAACAGCAGATTTTCTTTAAAAGTTTACCTGGGTTTGGTAGGGAGAATAGGGTTTGGGATATAGAACGCATTCCGTGATACAGAATGTGCCCTGAAAACATCAGTATGCTTGGATAACACAGCACTGCTGCGCTAGAGATCAATTGGCCTCATGGCATTTTGAAGGATAAATAAATGAAGTATGCAGCATTATCTGACTTCACTAAACAGCTAATTAACTAACACTGCAAGGAAAAAGGAAAAGGAAAAGAGGAAAATGGAAAAAGAAAAGAGGAAAATGGGAAGGGAAAAGAATATTAAAGACAAAGGTGAATTTGTTGAAAGAGACATTGGGCTGAGATTAGTGCAAATGGGAAAGATAGCTTTGTAGACTTCCCAGTTATGAAATAAACAGAGGTACAGCTGAAAATAACTAAAACTGAATATGGTGAAGGCTCCAGAACTTTCCATGCAGATGCACATGACCATAATTTCAAGAAAAAGAGGTACAGGGTGAACAAGATTGAAAGTACAAAGAATGAGCAATTGAACCCACTGCTGAAGTTTCTTTCAAACTCTTCTGGCTGTATTATGGTTCACTGTGATTCTGTTAACATCTAATATTAAGATGAATCATTGGTGACACCATGAAAGTCAGTGTAAAGGAGGAGTGCAACTGGGAAAAGAATCAAGCATTCAGGTCACTTCCATGCGGTGTTTTGTATGTTTCTGGCTGTCCTCACTCAGATTGAATTTAGAGAAGAAGGTACTTGGCACTAGCACAATAAAGCAATAGAGATGAAAGGGCTCAGGATGAGATTTTGAGATTGACTGAGCACGAACTTACCTCTGCTCCCTTGGAAGTTACTGGAATCAACTTTAAAAGAAGAAAAGTGGAATGAGACCACAGGTGGATGTATTCTAAGATTTCCGACTAAATCAGGATGCTAATATAATCATTATGAAATGATTAGATAAGTCATTGAAGCATGATTTTTGCTTATCTTGCTTATCTTTCTTCTCCTTATGATTTGTTTCTTATTTTTCCCTTTTTGTCCTCTTTCATTCTTTCCTTTTCATTTGCTTTCTACTCTTACCTGCCTGTCCAGAATGTAGCCACTTCATTTTTTTATATTCCCTCTCACATTTTTTCTTTTTTTTTCCTTCTAAAAATACTCCCAGTTGTTCCTTTTTTAATTCAGCTTGCTGCCACCATTCTCCTGACTGATTTTGTTTGTGCCTCAGTATCTTTTGTGCTTCTGTATTTTCACATTGCCCCCGTAATTTCAATGCCTTTTTTAAAGGCCAGAAACTTCATTAAAATGCAGTTTCTTATACTGAACAGTCAGCCAGTCTGGTGACTGTAGCTTTGTAGTGGGTAGAAACAGAAGGCCTCAAGAAATTCAGATGTTGAAAAGCATGATCTGGTCACACTCAAGGTTGGTGAGAAAGCTTACAAAAAAACATAATTACTATATGGTGGAAATGTTATCCTTTCATAGCTGCTTCTCAGGCAAAATAAGTACTATGACACTTGCCTGATTATCCTGTGTCTGTTTCTGTGTTTATATTTGGGCATACATTTCTATGCCACAAAATGAAATAGTCGGCAACAAGAACCATCTCTTGGTATGCACTTAAACAGTAAATTAGGAACAAAACACTCGTTCACTCCATTTGTTTTGTTGCAGAAATGTGTGCAAAGTTGATTTTTGACCAATGAAATCAGCACACAACAGTGTGAGCTACTAATGTTTTGTAAACAAATGCTAACTCCTAAAAGCAAGTAGCAAAGTCAAGACTTTGCAAGGAGGAAGATAGAGGCATTCGTAACTGCCCTCCTGTAGCACGCACAATAACACAGGTAGAAACACCCACTGAGTCATCTTTGCCAGCAATAGGATTTAGCTGGCAAAATTTGAAGTCGAGTGCCATTAATTAATTCACTCTCTGCAGGCCATTCACATTCTGCAGTGGCAAAATTTCAGCAAACCACATCATCAAACAATTTTTTTCTTTTATATTCGCACTCTTTGTTTTCATCATTTGCGATAATTGTGTGCTTTCTTTTGATCTGCGGTTGTGTATCTGAAATAAAATGCAAGCTGAAATAGGATGGAAAACCGTGTTGAAGTAGTAGGAGTTTCCCCAAATCCCCATGAAAAGCAGAAAGTGTTTCAAAGGTTGTAGGACATCATGTTTGGGAACATAGATTTTATTTAATATTCTACAACTTTTGTACAGTTAAAAAAGCGGGTCTGGACTTTTTCTTGAGAGGAAGCCTGGCTCTATCTGCTGTCAGTTTGGCACCCAAGGATTTTAAGATTAAGAGTTTGGGAATAGCTTGAAGATTTTTCTGTCTGAGTTGTCGCACATGTCAAAACAAACTTTCTTGGGAGTGTTCCTGGGCTTTCTTCTGTCCAAGTTATTTCATGGGAACCTATGACTTAGAGTTCAGAAAAGAGACTCATCTCTGGCCTTCCACCAGAAGCAAGAAGTCAGTGACCGACAACATTTTATTCCTTTGCTCTAAAAATAGTTGATGAAAAACAGGGCTTAGTCCTAAATTTAGATAATGTCCTTCAGATACATTGTAGGTAGCTCAGATAAATTTACAGAGTGCATTCCTGTCTGTGTAGTAAAACTATTGCACCTTTGTAACATCTGTCACTTGCCTGCTTCAGCTTCCAGAGCTAAACTCAGCATGATCAACACTATGTCAAAAATTCGGGGCCAGGAAAAGGGACCAGGTTACCCCCAGGCTGAAGCCTTGCTGGCAGATGCGATGCTGAAGTTTGGCCGAGAACTTGGAGAAGAATGCAACTTTGGTAACTTTCTTAATTCCATTTCCATTATATGCAATAAGAATGATAGTAAAATTTAACATGACTTTCCTTGTTAAAGTAGTACTTACTCTGATAACCGAAGAACTTCTCCAAGAGGCATCAGAGTTCTGCTTCATCACTTCTCCTTTTAATGTCGGTTTAGGCCTGTTGAGTGTCTTTTGCGGAATTGGACTTGAGATTTTTTTTCTCGTGGATGAAATTAAAATTGTTTTCTTTTGAACCCATATCCATATAGGCTTTAGGCTCTCTGTCATAGACTATGTTACTGGGGATGTGTTGGTATAAAAGACGTACATGTTCAGAAATTGCATTATTGTTTATGCTTGTGTACAATAAACCCTTTTGTCCTCAGAATCCTTATAATAAATGTTATTGTCTTCATTACAGGCAAGTAATAAATGGTAATAGATTTTTAATGGACTTCAACCATTTTTCTGACCAAATTGCACATTTTAAGGCACTAGTGAATACTCCTGTCTTATATGTCAACCGCTTCTCCCTCCAAGCCCCAAAGCAGTTTACAGCAGCCTGAGTTAGAAATGTTAAACTGAGACTTAACATTGTGTTCTAACTAAAAGAGGTGACGTTCACAATAGGATCCTGGGTCATTTTGTCCTATTTGTGTGGGCTTCTCCATGGCCATTTTTATGTGGTAACACACAGGACCCTCAAATAGGACTGAGTAAGTTCTATTTCCTATTTGAATCTTCACAAAATAGTGTTCCCGGCATAAAGACATCTGCAATGGAAAAGGTACTTTCTTGTTTGTTTCATGTAATTTACTAGTTAGCTTGGCACATGTAGGTGGATATGTGCTCAAGTTTTTTTAATCAGTTGCCTCTCATTTTGCTAAATTTCAAACACATTTTTAAAGGGAAAATTAAGAACTAATAGAATTTACTTTGTGCAAATTGCTGTATACTCCCCGATGATTGCAGTAGCAGGAAGCAGAATGGATACAGCAATTATTTTCACATTCTTAACTAATAGCAGCTATTGTGGCTGTTTGTCGCTCTTCACCCAGGTCTGGCAGGCTCTCTAGTTTTGCAGTGCATTGCTGGCATCGCCTGCCTGGGAGACAAAGCTCCTTTGATTTCTCACATTTTTAAGTTTTCAGGCCGCCTGTGTTCTTTGAAAGTGGGTTTTTTTCTCCGCCAATCTACACCTCAAACCAGGAGAGTATTTTTGAGCTTCTTGCTTTTTTTTTTATAGAGAGGGGGTAAAACAGAGTGGTAATTTTTGTGGCCTTCAAGTTAATCTTGGAGGAAACCTCAGAAGGCAGCTAATTCTTACTGAAGTTTATGAACTTGGGTAGGTGTATGAAGTCAATAATTTCATCAGAAAAAATCCTGTGTTAAAAAAAAATACCTGAAATTCTTAGGAATTTTAACATTTGATACTGTACCAGTTTCACTGATACAAACAGGGAGACCCAGCATGCACTGGCGCTATTTGTGCATGCAGTCTGCTGTCTGGTGATGGCAACACTGAAGCAAATACAGGTGATTCTTTTCTAGCCTGTTTGTTTCACCAGAGTGAGGAAAGAACAGGCGGCGAGGGGTGTGGGGGAGGCTGACTTGGTGCAGCGTGGATCCTCAGGTTCAGCTGTGTCACAAGGCAAAAAGTGGGGGCTTGCAAGAAGTGTAAAATCCGTGTTGCCATTTCACGGAGCACGTCATACTGTTTCCTTGCTAAACTTGCAACTTGAAGTGTTAACTGAAATTTGCATGACTTGGTTTCATTCTACATTTATTTGGAACTTAGCTATTTTGAGATAAACCGGGCATTTTTTATTTCAGGACCAGCACTTGCAGATGTGGGAGAAGCTATGAAGGAGCTTTCTGAGGTCAAGGACTCTTTAGACATAGAAGTGAAACAAAACTTCATTGACCCACTTCAGAATCTCCATGACAAAGATCTGAGAGAAATACAGGTATTGCTCTCAATGTGGCATTTTAGTGTTGCCAAATGTGAAGACTGTGTATGTATTCAAATTTTATGTTGGTTGTGTTGTTTAAAATGGGCTTTCAGATTTGCAGATGATCTGACTTTAGTCTCTTTTGGCTTGAGTTTTACTTTTCCATTCTGTCTCTCTTGTGGATGGTTTAGAAAGCAGAAGATCAAAATTCAAAGATTTTTTGATGGAAGCATCATCAAGCCTACGCAGACATGAACACAGAACTCTAATCCTACCATTTGAAAGCTCATTTCACTAAACAGATGAACAGATGTTTACATTCAATTTTCTGGTGTATGACATGTGCAGGCACTTTAATAGCTGCCTCTAGACTGGCATTACTCTTTTGTCTGTATGAAGGCTGTGTCTGAAACATTCCCAGGAATTTGGAACACAAACACTGCTTGCATGAGTTGCATAATTAGTAATCCAAGCACAAGTTAGCATTTACGGGGAAAAATCTTGTTTGTACATGTGCTTCTGCGGACACAACCTAATTTTATATTTGTGGAAGTAAAAGTGCCTCACAGTTCAGAAAATGCTTATCTGTACAAGTAACTGTTCTCCTGAGCGCAGTAAGGCTTTCATATTGATAAATATATGTGGAAGAAGGATGTGCTAGGCAGTTTGATATAATTTCCAAGGTTGTCAGTTGTAAATGTCATTAACAGATGACAGATTGATTCTTCTGAGGGAATGTAAACACCTAGTATTCATGCTGATGCTGGTAGCATTAAGTTTTGGCCAGCTTGATGTGGCAGCTGCTAAACGGATTGACATGCCTGTTACGTCAGTTAACAAAGTAGAAAATCTTTTATGAAAGATAACATTAAGATCCTTTGGTGGTCTGATGGAAATGATAAGAAGATTTTCTGTTTTGCTTTGTTTACGAGAACTGTTACACGGGCAAAAATGTGCTAACTTGTGCTTTTAGTAGAGTTTTTTTCTTTTAAACATGTAGGGAAGATCCATAGTGTTCAGGTAATTCTGCACTGGAGTTAAAAATCTTGAAACTCGTGTATCTTCTGTATAGGTGCAATTGCAGTTACCCATTGTATGTGGCCCTTTTTAATGTTGAAGGTCTGTCATTTAGACAGGAGGGCACATTGCTTCTTAAATGACATGTAAAACCAGCTTCGTCATCATTCTACACTCCTCCCATCTGGGGAAGAGTTGAGATAAGCAAACAGCACGTGCTTGCAAATGTACATGGACTGCCTCATTACAGTGCAGTATAAGGAGAGTTGGAGAATATCCTTTATGCTGTGCTTATGTTTGTGGTTTTGTTTTTTAGCACCACCTAAAGAAAATGGAGGGTCGACGCCTGGATTTTGATTACAAAAAGAAAAGACAGGGCAAGCTTCCTGATGAAGAACTTCGCCAAGCTTTGGAGAAATTCGATGAATCAAAAGAAATTGCTGAGTCAAGCATGTTCAACCTTCTGGAGATGGATGTGAGATATCCCTTGTTAATCTTTGAGATGAATATTAAAAAGAGAAAGATACTGGTGCAGCAGTGAAGGAAGCATTGTAAAACCTGAAAGCCTTATTAAATCCATGACACAAGAGATTCCTGTCACTGTACAATGGGGTAGCACTTGCCTCCGTGGTGGACTCAGTGCGATGCTCGGAAGCTATAGTAATGTACAGCTTGCAGATGTAGGACTGAATTTATGGGTATTTTATAGGTAGCTGAGCTAAAGAACATAAATCCTCTCTAGCACCGTTGCGCTTCCTAACTGCATAGTGTTACTTACCAGAACCAAAATATCTTCCTTCTTAGAATTATGTAAGTCATGACTTTTACTTAGCTGTGGTTTTGGGGTTTGAGCCAAGGCTTTTGCTGAAGTGTGTGGGCTGCTGAGAGGATTGGTAAAGATCAGAGATGATGAACTCACAAGCCCATGGTCTCTGCTGTAATCAGATGCAGTAGGGAATAGGAAAACCAAGGTTAATGTGACTCTTACTGCAGCATATTTTTTTGCTTACAGACTGGTTTAGGATCGAGCATCTATTAATTTTTCTTTTAACCTTCTATTTATAATTAATGTTGAAACTGTAAAATCAAGCAAGAAGAAAAATTTACCTCTTTTGGAGGAAAAAGACCATTTCAGCTGAAATCTTTCTTACAGGCTGTGTAGTCAAAGGAAACTCGGTTGAAATCATAGAATCATAGAATCATAGAATGGTTAGGGTTGGAAAGGACCTTAAAGATCATCTAGTTCCAACCCCCAATATTTCTGTTTAACTAAATGATTGGATTTATGTATAGTTTAAATACACATCTAACTTAATTTCATTGTCTCTTATGAAAGTTGGTAGCGATTGCATTGCCCACACAAGAATTTTGGGTGCTACTTCCTATATGAAGTAGAATGCTATCTGCCTTCACTACAAATATTCTGCATCCTAGAGTACATGGTTTCTTCCTGTTTTGGTCTGGCTTCACAGACCAGAATACAACAGAAGCATGACCATAGTCCCGGTGGTTTTGTGCCCCTGAAAGGCAGGGAGAGAGGAGGTGTATTTATGGACTCATTACAATGTCATTTTTACTTTTATAGTGTTTGTTGGGTGAGATGGGTCTGTAGGCTTCTGTTCTTGCAAATCAGACATGGAGATGACCAGAGGAGAAGAGTTGTGGTTTCCATTCCAGATCAGGCCATAACCAGAGATGGTAATGAATAAAGACTGATGTGTAACTATTTACGAGCTACAGAGGTGAATCAGGTTTTTAGAGGGATAAGTAAAACTGCCTTTGCAGTCTGGCAGTGGTTTTTGCTCGCCATTGCTGGACTGTTGGTACTTGCCTATGGTCTGATCTTTTAATGTCGATCCTCAGATTGAACAAGTGAGCCAGCTTTCTGCTCTTGTACAAGCCCAGCTGGAGTACCACAAGCAAGCCACGCAGATCCTGCAGCGCGTTACTTCTAAGCTGGAAGATAGGTAATGCACTTTCTGTAAGCTTGTTGAATTATTTTTTTCTTTTACGGAGGCAAAAAAAACCCGTGAGTAGAATGCAGCACTGTTATCTTTTGCAACTTGTTAATTGTATGTTTATGAAAACAAGGACCATTTCATTAGGCAATTGCAAGGTGATGATCATATGTTTTGGAGATGCGTGTGCTTCTGACTATGACTGAATGTGGACTGAATACAGAGAAGCATCTCAGCTCAGTAAAGCTCTTAAATAAATAAACAGAAAGCAAATGTTCATGCATATTGGAAGTCAGTGAGGCTTACGAGTTAGGATTCCTTACCATTCCTGCATGTATTCACAAAGTAGTCCTGAGAGAAGATGTTAATGATTGCTGTTGAAAAATAGCATCTTGTTACATTATTATCTACCTGAAGATCTTCCCGAGCCGGGTAGTAAGACCCCCCATCATTTGCTGCTTAGTAAATACTCCTTTTTTCCAGCTTCATTATCAGATCAAATATGATAGAAGGCTTCACTGAGTTCACCTCTTTTGTCTCCTTTTCTGTGACTGGCAATGCTGTCTTAGAACCGACATAGTAACTTTTAACAGAATTTCAGCATTTTTATTCTAGATTTTTTGTTTCTGTCAACAAAAAGTAGATTATACCTTCCTGAAATAAGAAAAATAATGTTTGTAAGTTTATCAGCTGCCCACACACATCCTTTTTCAAGTAAATTAGCATACAGGAAAGATTTATTTAATCCACATGGTTCTAGCAGACTTTTCCTAAAAGCTGGACATAATTCCCAAGAGCAGATCATGTTCACCTACTGTGTGAAGGCTGCTTTTTAATCGTGCTTGGTTCTTGCTGTTTTCTGCTGTCATCAGCACAGATCTGGTTTCTGGTACTATGGAGTCTGTCAGCGTTTATTTTTTCAGAGCACATAGTCCGTAAGCCTCATCCAGTTCTAAGTCTGAAATTCCTTTGCAGCTAGGAGCAGCACTTGTTTTGGTAGGTAAGCTGCCCAGCAGGCTGTTTCTGGATACAGTTTGCAGTACTGTCTAAACAGCTAACAGAATAAATTTCAGCACCTCCAAATTAATACTGCAGTTCACTTACTTTACAGAAGCGTGAAAAAATCCTCAGGAGCAGGTGGGTTGTTCTGTAGTCCGTAAGTTACACCATGAAGCGAACACACCTCTCACTGCAACAGATTTCTCTTCCTGTATCAGTTCAGATAACCTTCAGTCCTTTTGAAACTTCTGCTGAACGGTCAGTATCTTTGCTTTAAGTTTCAGCTCTGAATGATTTTAGCTTTTCAAGAACCTTTGCATCAGACTGCAAGTCTGGATCAACTGGAGTGAAACTTCTGTGTAAATTTTACCGTGTATGCTTAATTGTGAAGAGTTTTCTGGCGAAAACATCCTTTGTTCACACCACTGGACACAAATCAGAGAACTCTGAGATGGGCATGCCAGGGATTAAGCCGGGATGTAGGCCTGTTCCTATCCGAACTGCTTGCCATTTCCTGCTGGTGATACGCAGGCAGCAAAGAATGCATGGCCCCGTGTTTTGGGGGTTGTTTTGTTGACCTTAGGGAACAGAAAATAAATAATGCTTTACTTTTAAGATGAGCAAATTTGTTCCTATTCCTCTCAGGGGTGTCTGCAGCACATACTGCCCATTTTCTGGATACTTTTTAAAAGACTTGATAATGTCTTCTAACTGCCAAGACTGTCCGGTTTAAAATATTGTGTGAAGAACTTAAAAAAAAAAAAAAACGAGTTATACTGCAAAAACCATGAAACGTTTAAAAATGCACTTGAGTCTTCTTTCTGGGCCCTTTAGATTAAGCTTCAAAACTTTCTTTAGTAACTGCAAGTGCAAGAATTTTCATTTTTCTTCTATGTGTTAACACAGTGCATAAACTTCCTTAAAATGCCATTATTCCAGAAACTGGGACTTTAGAAACTTAGCAAACACTGGGAGACCTGCGATAAAATTAGTAAAATCTGGAAGGTCAGCAAAAGCTTTTCCTTTTAAACTCTCTTTTTCATCATGCAAAAGGAGGCTGCAGTTTTCAAGACAGAGTATCATGACAGAGCAGCTGGGAAGCAGGAATTCCTTGGTGATATTTCTTTTCTTAAGAAACACGGCTCATGTCGAGCTTTTGGGTAATTTTTAGCAAGTCACTAGAACTGTCACCACCTAGTTCATAATCTGTAAAAAATGATGTTTGTTTCATGGAAGTGTAATAAACTTGTTTAGGTATTTCTTCAAAATGTTACTGTTTTGAAAAAGTAACTTCTGTCAGTGAGTGAAACACAGCAAAGCCTTTTTAATGGAGTTTATTTTGATAGCTTCAGTAATTTATGGTATTAATATGCTTATGTTTTTGCTTATGAAGAAGGAAAGCAGTCTCTTGGACTGACTAATACTGATAATATTTTGGATGGGGAGGAAACCCTTTTTATCGGGACTGAAACCAGTTGTTAGAAGCAGGTCTTTCAATAGATAAATGAAAATGTGCTACCGGCAACAAGTCTGGGAAATATCTAGACGAGGTTAGAGAAACCAACCTGTCCTTTAAATACAGAGGTATTTAAATACCATATGCAGCATTAGAAATACATGTGGCAGCTGTTCTGCATAAGCTTCCCTGATTCTGTCATCATCCCTTCCCTGGATTTTGCCCTGGAATCTGAAGGTGTACCTTTCCTAGAAACTCTAGGTTTCTCAATTAGAAGAATATGTTGAAAGAATGTTGCATATTCTTATTCTGAGAGTCAGGAAAACAGGAGTTGTGTGGCTTTGTGAAACAATTATTCCAAATTAAAAATTAACTAAGTCTGCAGCTGAAGTTAGTACATTCCCACACAGTCTCCTCACAAAATGACAAGCATTGGCATCGACCAAATGAATAGTTAAAGCTTGCCAGGGATAGAAGCAAAAATCGTGCTAAAAATGGGGGCAGAGATGTTTGTACAGCCCTTCAGTAAGCTTTGCTAGTCACGTAACAAGTTTTTCTGCATTAAAAGCTCTTTGTTATTGTTAGACAAAAGGAAGCCAGAAATAAAGCTAGGTTCCTAGAGGGAAAGAAAATTAACTACCTTATGGCATAGTCACATTGGGTGGGTTTTAGTAATTTAAACTAATGTTGTAAAGAAAAAAATCACTCCAAATATCAAAACTTTCTTTGTCTGGATGATTGGATGGGAACTTTACCCATGGAAATAAAGATGTTTAGTACATCTCATCTGTTAACAAGAAACTAACTCTTGACAATTCACTTTGTATTTTGGCAGAATAAAAGAGGCATCATCTCAGCCCAGGAGGGAGTACCAGCCCAAACCCCGCATGAGCCTGGATTTCACAACTGGTGACAATACTCAGCACAATGGAGGAATATCCCATGCCACCACACCCAAACCATCAGGTAATGGCAGTAGCAATGTGAGAATAGAAGCCAACTCTGGCAAGTTTTGCTACAAGGCAGAAGTTCTGTGCTTTCTTCTAGGGAATAGCTCTTCCACAGTGAGGGAAAATGAGTATGAGGGTAGTATAGCTGTTTGAACTGTTGTTTCTTTGCAATGTATTCATATCCCCGGGCAGGAGAAGAGGTATGCATCATCCACTGCTTAAAATGTGTCTTTGGATCAAAAATTTCCTTAGTTCTAGAACCTCAAAGATTCTGCTGTACTAAATTCACCCTTAAATATAGATCTTCACAAAACAGACATTTAGAACACCAAAAGGGCAACTGAAGGTTTTCCATGAAAATGCAGAACCCTGACCCCACCCCACCCCCCACCAAAAAAGCCTTCGTAACTTTATCCTGCTTTTTAAAATTAGGTATTACAGCACAAAGAGCCTGAAAGTAAAAATCGCTAAAAAAACCCCCGAAGCTATCTGAGTTTTTTTTTTTTTGTCTAGTTGGGACCGACACAAGCAAAATTAAGCTTTTATATGACTGTGCATGATTATTATGTTCAAGAAGTGATTATTTCATATCAGCACATGCTGAGCAAGCCTTATTATTTGTTTCTCACAGTAATGGTCTGTTCTCCCATGTTATGGTGAGGGTTGTCCTCTGTCCAGACCCTGACCCTCAGTGATTCCAGTTCACCTGAGTGACAATTGCTAGTACACTCTGCTTTCCATGAGAGGATTTTTTTTCACTGGATCTTTAATCAGGATTTCATTCCTTCCCATCACATCCTGATGTGGATGTTTGGTGTTCTCCCAGATATAGGAAGCAACAGTATTCTCCACTTGCCACCTGCAACTGGAAATTGTCTTGCACAGTCTTGCAAACTCCTAGTAACCTCACTGTGCTAGCGAGGAGGGGGTTACAGTGGACAGTTCTTGTGCATGAGCGTGGTTTGAGTCTTGCATGGTGGAGCTCCTCTCATGGCACCGTTAATTTTCTTCTTCACCGTGTCTCTTCAGCATTCATGTTTTCCTCTTCAGATAGTAGTATTTAGCATTTTCTTCAATAGCAGCTCTTTTCTTTTGAAGAGTTTATCAGTTTCAGAGAAACACCTTCTTTGTTGAAATTTCTATAATGTATATTTGAGTTGGTTCATTCAAATCTCTGATCTTATATGGTCACTGGAGTTTATTTGCTCAACCTTCTGAATTTCAGCTGGTAGCAGCGAGGATACCAAACACACGTCGCAAGGCTTGTGGATGCCAACAAAATAGTCTTTGTGAAAAATACAGCAAAATATACCGAGTGATATGTAGAAAAATGCAAGAAGGTTTCACTGCAGAGTTTAATAAATTAAACCTGGTATTTGAAAAATTTGCTCTATTGATATCTATAAAAATGGAATATTTTTCTCCTAAAATAGCTCAAGCATGGGTGTTGTAGCCATAGTGGGTGGTTGAAATGAATATGCAAAAAGTTTCAATCTGAAACATTCATTCGTGTATTCTCAGAAGTGCAGTTATGGTGGAGTGGCCTTTGTCAGTTCATTCTGACCACTGCAAGTGCATGAACTTTTGTTATGGAAAGTCAGGTGGGGATTCCTTAAAATTTAGTGCTTCTAAATCGTAAATATTTTGACCAGTAACGATTTTGCCTTTCATAGGCTTGAAGCTTTGGCGGAGGAGTTGGAGGGACAGAAATGTAGGGGATGGGAGGAATATTTATTAATTTTATATAGTGTATGAAAATTTAGTCTAACTAATGACTTATAATAATACCCTAAAGGATTTTGTGGTAAGATGTTCCTGAACTAGCATATTAGCTTTCAATTTCATACTTGTTCTGAATCTATCCTGGTGGCCCTGCAGTCAAGTAGTTTGTGGGAATGGGAACAAAAGGTATTTGGAAACCTCACACTAAAATTCAGAGGATTAGGAGTATATAGGGTGCTTTACATTATAGCTGTGCCAGTAAAGTTTCCAAATAAAGGACAAAGACACAGGTATATCTTCTCTGTTGTTTTAAGCTACCCCTTACACTGCTTCCCTAAGGTTAATAGACAAAGTACCTCTGTGCCAGTCAAGATGGAAATCCATTAGGGCTTCTGCTTCATTTATCATGTTTTGCAAACAAATTAGATTCCAAACTGATTGTAGCCGTGCTTTTTGTGTGGTCTTGACTGTAGCTTCGTTCTTTGGCATTTGCTAGCAGTCACATACGAAAACTGAAGGCTGCCAAAAGCCGACAGCGGTCTTCTAATGAAGTTTAGCCATTCAAATTCAGATGTTATCGAAGAACTGTCATTGGAATTTGAGTGATGCCAAAACCAGAAAAATGTGTAAAAGGTGCACTGATAAAAAGGATACTGTAACTGTTGAGATTTTTCAGAACATTTTTTTTTTGTGTTTCTTCTCCATAGGTGCCCACATGGATCAGCCATGCTGCCGAGCTCTGTATGACTTTGAACCAGAAAATGAAGGGGAGCTGGGGTTTAAAGAGGGTGATATCATTACCCTCACTAACCAGATCGATGAAAACTGGTATGAGGGGATGCTTCATGGCCAGTCGGGTTTCTTCCCCATCAATTATGTCGATATTCTTGTTCCATTACCCAATTAGGATGGCTGATCCACCACCTCTGACCCTGATAGTTGTGTCAGTACCACTGCTTTCAGAATGCTGCTTCTTACACCTTAAAAGTGCAAATTGCAGTGGTTAGAGTCATCGATTCCCACTGAATCCTTGCATCCTTGGTTTATGTGTTGTCATACTACCTGGTGGTGATGCGTGGTATCTTCTGAGCCAGCACAGTCTGGGTTGGTTTACTGGCCATGCTGGCCTGGTGGTAATCAGAGCCATTACCGAGATGAAGCTGGGAAGACAGTGGCGAGCAAAGCAGGTAACGCATAGGGAAGTAGCAGGAAGTGAAGGTGGTATTGGGAAGATAATGCCTATCACCACTCTATTACTTTTCATTCTTAGTTCTCTATGAGGGAAAAGTTCTTGCCATTCCATCTTTCCCTTCCTAATGATACAGTTTACACAGGTCTAACGCTGACTAACCAGAATTGTATCTTCCAACCCAACTGGCTTGCTGTTCTCGGAGAGACAGTGTAAATGTAGACCCTCTGGTTTCTCAGAAAGTGAACCACTGTACTGTGTGTCCTGCTGCTCTCTGCTCATTTTTATAGTCTTAGTTATTGTTAAAAGGCCTGTTTCCCTCGAGAAGTAAACTGTAAACCACAAAATGGGGATTCCTGTAGTAAAAAACTTGGACCGCAAACGACCTGAATTTGCCCTTCAGGAACTTAAAGCATGCTCACCAAAATGCCAGTAAGAGGGCAAGATGGGGAATAAAACTGGCATTTGTTAACTGTTTCCTGTCAAGTCTTTGCACACAATCATGCTGCTTAAGCACCAGATATCCTTTGTAAACTGATTCACTGAGGAATACAATAACCAACCAAACATGACCCTCACTTCATTTGTTTCTGTCTGCCATGTGTTCTTCAAACATCATTTGTGCATATTCTGGCCTCAATGAGGACTAAATAAAACTTGTTATCTTTTTGTGTTGAGCAATTAAAGACATGTGGCTGTATATGCAAAACCATTTCCCATATGTTTAGTTGGTTCTCTTGTGTTCCTCCTTCCTGCACTTTGTGTGTACAGTGCTGTGCCTAGCTTCTTGGCATTCTTTTGGTAACAGTTGCAGAAGTTCTGTTAGTTTAGTTACCCAGAGTTCTATTTATCTAAATTGTACAGACTCTTTCAGAGGTTTAATGTGCTGCTTCGAATGTGCCACTTCAGTACTGGATGATGTGAAACGGAGACAATTCCCTACTGCTTAATGTATAAGCTATATCATGGAAAGTATTGATATTTCAAATAAATGCTGAGAGAATAACTAGAATAATGTTGTGGATAATTACTTTGTTGATATAGGATATGTTGTGCTGACTTCAGCTAACCAGAGCCTTGTTTCGAATTAAAACTCACACGTATAATGGCCCTCATAAACAGGATAAATTAATGCCCTCATGAGCAGCACGCAATCCTGTGGATACAGGTTGTTTCTCATTAAAGAAGGCTAGTAGTGTTCACCAACCCCCTGGTAAAGCTTAAAGACATGGGAGCACAGGGATTTTTTTTGTTTTTCTTTCATATGACACAGCATTGTATTTCATTTTATATTCTCTGCTGTACACATACTGTGCTGGGGTAGCCTTGGCAAGGAGCCAGACACCCACCCAGCTGCTCCCTCACTGTTCCTCCTTAGTGGGAGGACAAGAAACCTCATAGGTTGGGATAAAAACAGGAAGATTGCTTACCGGTCACTGTCAGAAGCGAAACAAACTCAACTTGGAGAAAACTAATTTACTACCAATTAAAGTAGATTTGTGTAGTGAGGGAAAAACCACAATAGCACCTTTCCCGCCCCGTTTCCCAAGCTCAAATTCACCCCTTCACTCCTGACTCCTCCCAACCAGCAGTGCAGGGGGATGTGGGATGGGAGGTTTATGGTCAATCCATAACAGTTCCTCCCTGCCGCTCCTCCCTCCTCCCGTTTTGCCCTGTTCCAGTGGTGGGTCCCTGCACAGGCCGCACTGTACAGATCTGCTGGTCTGTCACGGACCGCCTCCTCCTCCTTCCCTGACCTTGGCATTCCTCTGCTGTTTCTCACTTTTTTAGTTTTCCCCTCTCCCTCCCTCTGCCCAGTGTGTTTTGCCCTTTCCAGGGCCATTTGTGGATCCGTTGGAACTGGCAGGAACCAGCTG